AAAATTGTAAAAAATAAATTTCTGTTGTTTAAATAAGTCTATGGTCTTTTGTTACAAGAGTCTGGACACACTAATACACAAAGCAAGCAAAAACTGGGTTAACAGAAGAAGCAACATCAGAGTCAAACCAAAATCCATGATCTATCGAGCCACTACCCCCTAAAATTTGTAAGCAAATACAGAAAGATAAGAAAAAAATGAGACGAGAAGAATTTAAAAACCACTGGGTACAACTACATGGAAATACTATTCATTGAGCCTTCTTTTGTACTTAGGCAAATGCACCTCTCTTGATGCTTTGTTTGATCATCTATATGGACAGATGAAATCTAAAGATCTGCCTGGACTCAAGGTGATGATAGATCTTTTCTAGATAGTTTTTAAAAATTTGATGTAAATACTTCCAAACAGACCAACTTCTTTCACATAAATGAACACTGAAGCAGATGAGAAAGAGAAAGGCAAGGCTGTTGGGTCAAAGATCTTAGCACTGTGCTTCATAGGAAACACAATTCAAACCTGCTTTCCCAAACACTTGAGATTTTAATTCAATATTTAATCTGCAGAGGGCCCTTATGCTACTTTAGTTTTCTGGTCCATTCACTCTCCTATTTTCCTCAAATCTCCAACACTTCCATTCTCACCTTCTCTCCTTCCTACTTCACTGAGAAAACTAAGGCAATCAGGGCAGCCCTGGTGATGCAGCGGTTTAGCACTGTCTTTAGCCCAGGGCCTGATCCTGGGGACCTGGGATGGAGTCCCATGTCGGGCTCCCTGAATGGAGCCTTCTTCTCCCTCTGCCTCTCTTTCTCTCTCTCTCTCTCTCCCCCTCTGTCTCTTGTGAATAAATAAATAAAATATTAAAAAAAAAAACTAAGGCAATCAGAAGAGAACTCGGTTATGTAGCCATCACCATCTAATATGGATATTCATCTATCCATATCCTCTCTTTGTTCCTATTAACAGGGATATGCCATCTGTGCTCTTGGCCAATCTATTTATGCACCAGAACCCCCTCCTCTCATTTACCTAAGGACATGACTTCAATAATTCTCCTTCATTTCTCCCCCAACAGTGTTTTCACTCTCTACTGAATCATTCTCAAAAGCATACAAATTTGCTATTATTTTTCCTAATGTCTTTTTCCCATGGTCTGCCCTATTACAGTTAAAGGCAACCCCATCCTTCCAATCATTCAGGCCAAAAATTCTGAAATCATTTTTTTTTTTTTGACCCTACTCACACCTTCCTTCCAAGCTATCAGCAAATCCTTTAGGCTCTTCCTCCAAAAATATATCCCCAAATCCAACCACTTCTCACCATCTTTATTGCTATTAACCTGGACAAAACTACCCACATCTTTTCTCTGAATTCCTACACCTGTCACTCTGCTTTCATCTTTGCTCTCCCACTCCCTGGACTCTTTTGCACAGAAGCCAAAGGGATCATATAAAATATAAATCACTGAATGAGTTACTTATTCATAATTTAGAACATTTTATAAGCCAATCTTGTTTTCTATTTTTCAAAAGAAATCAAAAAGTTATCTTTCTCAAATCTTCTTTGCTGTAAGGGAGAAAAAAATAAAGAAAAAAATAGCAACCATTTAATTTGTTCTCCTAAATAACTTTACTTCGATCTCAATAAAGCTTTGTTCCCACCTTGGGCGGGATGGCCAGAAAGAAGCAAGCCTCCATAAAGCCAAGCCTTTTGATAAAATAAAGATAATTGAATGCAACAAGTCTGTGTCCTTTAATCTGATCACTCTCTCCCTACCAGCAAATCTTTTCTTAAGCTCCCTTTACCTATTTACTGCAACTATTAAACAAACAACTATTAAACAAACATGGTGACCTTCCATCACCATGGTCCTCTAGCTTTGGGATTTGTCTGCTTCTGTTTGGTTCTGATTTGGTCACTTGCATTCCAAAATACAGGAAAGGTTGAAATAGTGTTCCAGGGAGACTTCTCAAGTAATAGCAACTAAAGAACAATTTCATAATGTTGGAATTATCAACATGGTTACTTGGAATCACAGTCTTATGAGCAGACAGCAGCATTTATTAAGACACAAAAGGATGTTTATCAAAGCATACCATTTTCTAAATTCTCAGGTTCATTTGTGTTTTTTTTATGCTGGAGATTTTGCTTGAAACTCCACATGGTAAATTTAGTGAGGTTTGTTGAAGATAAAAAGGGTTAGGTAAAATAAAAGATTAAAGTCATCTTTATAATGTGAACAGTATCCCTTCAACTTGTGATATTTTATTTTTTAAAGATTTTATTTATTTATTCATGAGAGACACAGAGAGAGAGAGAGAGAGAGAGAGAGAGAGAGAGAGGGGCAGAGACACAGGCAGAGGGAGAAGCAGGCTCCATGCAGGGAGCCCGATGTGGGACTTGATCCCGGGTCTCCAGGATCAGGCCCTGGGCTGAAGGCGGCGCTAAACCACTGAGCCACCCGGGCTGCCCAACTTGCGATATTTTAAACATAAACTCTAGAACCTTTGACTCATCACAAGTTAATGAAGATTGTGAAGCCTTTCCTATCTCAGTAAATGGTAACACTACATCCTTCCTTTGGCTCAGGCCAAAACCTTCAAAGTCATCCTAGACTGGCCTTTCTCCTCAGGTCCTTCCTCAGGTCCTCTGCCTGGGGGGTTCTTTCCCCACATCATCAGTGTCACCTTCAGCATTTTCAGATTTCTTCTCAACACTTTCTCCCAACACTGCCACTGCTGTTTTTACTATTGTTCTTTAAACACTGGCATACTTCAGACCTACATATACTGCATATTTGGCTTATTTCACTTATTTTTTAGTTTACTGTCTCTCCCCACCAGAATGGGAGCTCCACGGACAGGAATTTTGTGTTTTGTTTACTACTGAATCTCCAATTGGTAGAACACTTGAGACGTAACAGGCAGCCAAATATTTGTATAATGAATAGGGATGACTAAGTAAAATTATGACATCTGCCTCAAGAAAGGCAATCATTTAATTTTCAAATAATTCACTTATTCCTCCTAACAAGCTCTACAAAGACAAAAACATTTCCTTCCTGATTGCATACTGGTATTCCTGATTTAGCACTTCATAGCATACAAGATATGGCTCATTCTGTACCTCCATTAACATTAAACTAGAAATTTTGAGAATTACAGGCAGCAAGTGGCATTACAGTTTCACATGACATAGATTTCTTTTAAATTCACCTACAATGCATTCTGGTTTTACCATCAGTCACTAAGTTATTATTTTGAACTGCAAAGCATTAAATGAACTAGACTTCCTCTATCTACTCTTACTGGAAACATGATTTCTCAAAATCTTAACATTTTGAATTTCCAAAAAGAACCCTGAGCATCTTATCTGAGGTTCTACAATATTTAATTAAAAAAAAAAAAAAAAAAAAAGCAAGTGCTTGAAAAAAAAAAAAAAGATCTCGGCTGAGACACTGTGTTGAGTATTCCCAACAAGGCCACCAAACGAGTTCTCAGATTCAAAAAGAATTGGTTGGGACGCCTGGGTGGCTCAGCGGTTGAGCATGTGCCTTCAGTCCAGGGCGTGATCCTGGAGACCCGGGATCGAGTCCCACATCGGGCTTCCTGCAAGGAACCTGCTTCTCCCTCTGCCTGTCTCTGCTTCTCTCTCTGTGTGTCTCTCATGAATAAATAATTGAAAACAAAAAGAATTGGTTAAAAAATACGAAAAAATCAGAACAATTACATTAGCATTAACCAACAATGAAGAGGAGGCGTCACTGCTACCAAGCCGTGGCAGACAATTTCTAGAAGAGTTATCAAAACTCTTTCCCAACAATAGAGTACACCAAAAGTCTGTACAAAGGTCGCAATGTATTTCCTACAGCTCTTTATTAAAAAAAAAGAAAGAAAGAAAGAAAGAAAAAAACATTTAAGCCAATTCTTGAGACAGGTAACACGTCATGATTAAAATTCTCGGTAAATTCTGCATGTCCGGCTGCCTAACCGCGCTAAAATAGCGGGCTAAAATCCGTCTGTTCCACTCCATTCCCACGATGCGTACGCACGTCACGAAGTTCTGAGGCAACTTCGCGCAAATAGCCAAGGGAAAAAAGAAAGCGAGAAAAAGAAAAGGTAGTCACTCGAAAGCAATGAAACCACGGAGGGCACCACCTCGGGTGACCTCTTATATTCTAACAATAGTGGTGCGAGCTTCTACCCCGATTGCTCAACCGCAGGAACCGTAAGACTCCAGCCTCGGCCCAGCGTCTCCACAGCCAGAGGACGACCACAAGGTCTGCCTCGCCCCCCGCACCTCCGCCCCCGCGGCCCCCTCAAAGCGACGACCTCACGGGGCCTGGGCGCCCTCTCACCGTCGCTGCACTTGTACTGGCAGAGCCCATCCTCGCCTCCCAGGAGGTCCAAGGCGGCGTTCAGGTACGTGTCTATCTTGTGAACGCCGTTGCGGATGGTCTTCAGCGTGGCCCGCCAGTCGGTGGTCTGGGCCTGCTCCTGACACAGGGCAGCGGCGGGCAGGAAGAGGAGGAGCAGGAGGGCGAGCGCCGGCCGCGGGAGCAGGGCCATTCGCGCCGCACCGGGCCGTGCCCCCACGGAGCGCACCGGGCGCCCTAGGCAGCGGCGCCAGCCTCGCGCTCCGCCGCGCCAGCCGGCTCCACGCCCACGCCTCCTTCCGAGCTGAGGGGCGGGTCCTCACCGCCTTCAGCGAGCTCCGGCGGGGAGGCGGCGCAGTCGCGGAGACGCGCGGCACAGCGCATGCGCCGACCTGGGCCGCGGCCTACTGTGCGCCTGCGCCTGCGCCTGCGCCCAGGCGTGGTGCGTCAGCGGGGGGAGGGGTCCCCGCGGCGCTCCAGCGCGGGGGCTCTAGTTAGCGCTGTCGGGGGGTGGGGGGGGGGGTACTAACTCTGCAGCGACGTCGGGGCGCCGCCCCCCCAGGAGGCTGATTGAGTCCGTCCCTAGTGGCTCTGACCGTCGGTATTTTGAAACAGCCTCCTGGTGGTGCTCGCTTCGGCAGCACATATACTAAAATTGGAACGATACAGAGATTAGCATGGCCCCTGCGCAAGGATGACACGCAAATAAAATAAAAAATAGAAATTAATAGAAACAAAAGCCTCGTGGTGGTTGTAAGGTGCAGCCAGGTGAGCCCCAGGGGCTCAGCCCCGCGATCGCCGCTCCCACCTGCCCACCGCCGTCCCTAGGAACCAGCTCCTCTGGGCGGGGTCGCCCGTAGCCCCCTGCGGAGAGCGCTGCGAGGGGTCTTGGCTTCGTCTCGGTTTGAAAATGCGAGTCCGCCTGAGCCGTGGACCGGAATCCGAGCCCACCGGGAGCCCGACCTGTCAACCCAAGGCCCAGGTGCTGCCTGGCTGGCAAGCATGAGCTAGATGCACATTTAGAAATTCTGGTAGAAGAAAATGGTTTGAAAATAAAAACTATTTTCTTTCTTGATAGGAGAGGCGTCATTCTACGTTTGAATACAGTTTTGTTTTTCGTTGTTGTTTTTTTAAATCTTAATAGAATCACTTTTCCTGCTCAACTTACTATGTAGCTTGATAACTCCGGCGAAGTTTCTCAGTATTTTTTCCCCTGAGCTGCGCAGAATCCTTAAATAACAGTTGCAGTAATTTTTACCAGAGCTATGAATATCTGGTTATGTGAGTATCCCGGAAATTTCCAGGAATCTAACAGTAATAAGATCCAGGGCAGTATTGGAGGTGCTGGGAATAGGTGTGTCCTTTCTTAGTAAAATTACTAATAAGTTCTAATTTGGCGTTTGTGTTTGTTATAAGCTTCATAAGTATAATAAATGTGCACTAAAGAGTTCCTAAGTATGATATCCCTCCTTATTGGGAACTTCCTCTGTGCCATGTACTTCACATACAAACCATCTCACAGAACAGCGTTTTATAGGGATGCAGACTTTGGGTGAGTTAGAAACAGAAAAATGTGTCCCTCTTGGCAGACACAGACAAATGTAGCTCAACCCCAGGAAGTCGCCCAAGCTACAGGGCGCTTGGGCTGTGATTAACCCACCACAATGGAGGAAGGGAAGACAAAGGCCTGGAGGCATTGTCAGTCTTTTATGGTGAAGGAGTCAAGGTACAGAGAAGTCATGTGCCATCAAGAATGCAAAATGTATTGGATTTAATGTAGCATATTAACTCAGACTGCTTGAAGAGTAGAATCCTGTGGGCTATTTGAAACAACGCAAAATCAAAATACAAAATATCAAGGGAAGTTTCTATTGTTTTAGTCTTTTCCACCGTCTCATTAAATGACCTGAGCAGTGTTGTTGTGATGAAAATAAATGCCAAGTGGTGAAACCATTCCAGACATAGTGATCAATCTTTGCCCAGTGTTAAGGCTAGAACATTGGTTTCTAAAAAGGGCTGAAATGAAGGGAAGTAAGTGCTAGTTTCCAGCCTCTGCCTTAAAAAAAAAAAATTAAAGATAGCATGAATAGCCTTCAAACCAGGGCTATTCAAAGTGAAGGACAAGAAACAGCTGCACCAGGTCTGTAAGCTCAGGCTGGTTCCATAATATATTGAAGATAATGCTCCCCATTTCAGGTGTTCTGTCATCGGGCAAATTTGATCAGTGTTTTAGTCTGTTTGGGCTATTGTAACAAAACATCACAGACTAGGTGATTTACAAACAACAGAAGTTTATTTCTCACACTTCTGGAGGCTGGAGATCCAAGATTAGGGTGCCAGAGTGTCAGGTTCTGGGGAGGGGTCTCTTCTAATTTGCAGATGACTGACATCTCTCTGTGTCCTCACTTGATGGAAGCGGTGTGGAATTTCTGGGGTTTCTTTTATAAAATACTAATCCCATTCATAAGGCCTCCACCCTCATGACTTGAGCACCTCCTAAAGACCCTACTTCTTAATGCCATCACATGGAGCATTAGGATTTCAACATGAGTTTTGAGGGAACACAACATTCAAATCACAGCAATGAGGGAAGAGATTTTCAAGTGATCTTTGTCGGTAGAATGTAAGATTACTCGGCATACAGAGAGGACGCTCTGGACAAAATGGAAGTTACTCACTTGGGTACGACTGCAGTGTTTTAGACCATCAGGATAAATTCAGGTGTGTGGTTTCTCTAGGTTGGGTTTCTGGCTACTTCCAAACCTCTGATTGATTTTTAGCTTTATATTTCCTACTGCATGCTATATACATCTTTCCTATGCTCCCGCAGACCTCACAGCTTCAAAATATCTTTAACAAAACCTGCTTTTCTTTCTCCGTTTGCTTTATTTCTAACATCAATGGCAACAGCAATCTTCTCATTATCCCAGAGATAACTTGGGAGTTATTCCAAAGTCCTATCCCTCTCCCTAGTGCCCTGTCCTCTCTTCAGTCCCCAGCTGCCATCTATTTTACTCCTTAATATATCTGGAATCAGTGCCATCTTCTTTAAAAATTTCTATCTTAATCATTTTTCATTTGAATTGGTCCAGTTATCTCATAACTGTCTTTCCCACCCCATCTCACCCCCTCCGATACATCTTCCTCCATGCCTCCAGTGTGAACTTTCCAAAGTCAGTGGTCCCAACTCTTGTGCAAAGCCCTCTCTGATCTACCCTTTTCTCCCTCTCCAGGTCCTCAGCTGCACCCTACTCTCCCACCCCCGACTGTCACGCAGAACTGCTCTCTGTCTACTTTTTAGGTTGGTTCCTCTAGACACAGAGCCTTTGCATTTACATCTGCTTGGAGATTTCTTCTGTAATTCAGATTAAACTCACCTCTGGGGAGGCCTTCGTTGACACTTCAGACTGATTTATGAGTCTCCCTTGAGTTTTCCCCTCTGTTGACCTGGCAAAACGTAGCTTTATAATTTTTTCTGTCTCCCTCATAAGATAGTGACTTCTGAGGCCAGGGTTAAATATAAGACGATGGCAGCACTCTATTAGTGAGCTCTGTTTGTTGACCACCTTCAGGAAAGACCATGCTAACTCACAGAAGCAGTAGTGGTAGAGGGCCAAGCAGTAATGTCCGGTGCCCAGCCTCTGCAGTTCAAGATTTTCATGGAGCCTGGGACCCGAGCTAATAGCAGTGGAAGTGTCTGATAAGCAGTCCTACAGTGGTCTTTGAGCATTATCTCCAGACGTGTAGCCAACACTCTGGCTTTCCTGAAGATTCTGTGAACTACATAATATCTTTGAACACATCTTTTTTCTTTTTTTTTTTTCATTAAACCAGTTTGATTGATTTCTGTGATCTGCAACCAGGAGCCCTCACATAGACCTCTGAATTGAGAGAGTCCAGGAATCCAATCTCACTCCTGCTGTTCCCAGTCTCTATCACAGGGAGTCACTATAGAGAAGCTGGCTCTTCACTCTTCAGATTCTGGTCTAACATGCTGTGAAGCCTTGAGGTCCCAGGTCACCAAGTGGACTGGCTTGGTCCTTCAAGGGGCCATAATGCTGCTTTCTCCCACCTTGCAGTCCTTAGTATTCATACCCAGGCATCTTCAAGAAATGCTACAGGCTCCAGGTTTGCTGGGCCAGGATATGGTGGTGGTTTTAAAACATGCCACAAATCTCCCAGGACACTTGTCAGCTGTTATGAAAGAAGTCTAGTGCCTCTGAGTCCTCATGTTGAGAGCCCAAGTGGAAAGACCACATAGAGAGAGATGCCTGGGAAGCACCAGCTGTTTGAGTTCTCCCAGCCTAAGCACCAGACACGTGAGTGAAGAAGCCTTCAAGATAATCCCTGCCCCAGCCCTCCTCATCTGACAGCATCTGTGCTAGAGGATGGATGAGATGGCCAGCTGAGCGCCATCAGTCCCCAGACATGTAGCCAAAATAATAAACAATCATTATTTAAATAAATATTTGGGTGTTCTTTCTTACACAGCTATAGATAACCAAATATTTTCCTGCATTCAATGATAAAAGGAATTAAAAATCTGGGCAGCATGGGAAGGTTTTGCTAAAGGTTTTGCTAGCTGAATGACATTGGATTCACATAAGCCTGCATTCAAACCGCAATTCTACCATCTATGAATTACCTGGCCCTGGGCAACTTATTATGTTTATTGTGTCTCATTTTCGACCTCAAATGGAAACTAGAATTTTGAGAAAATGAAACCACATACTAAATAAAATGTTTGCATAGTACCTGTCACAGGAAAATAACTGACCTCACACCTCTTGTCTCATTTCTCTGCTTCTTTTTTTTTCTTTGAGATTTTTATTTACTTATTCATGAGAGAGAGAGAGAGAGAGGCAGAGACATAGGCAGAGGGAGAAGCAGGCTCCCTGTGGGGAACCTGATGCGGACTGGACTCGATCTAGGATAACAACCAGAGCCATAGGCAGATGGGGAGGAGGAGATAGTGTGTAACAGGCACAGAGTTTCAGTTTGGGAAGACAAAAACTTTCTGAAGACAGTTTGGTGGCATAACAATGGAAACGTACTTAATGGCCCTAGACTGTACACTTCAAAATGGTAAAGCGGTAATAAAAAAAAATTGTATGCATAGGTTACCAAAATTTTTAAAAAGGAAAGAAAAATCTGAGCAGTAAGCAACGTTGTAATGTACATAGAAATGGGCATTTCCATTATTAAAACAATTGGGCTTCATCCAGGAGTGAACCCCAGGTATTGAAGGTAATATTGATGTGAAAAATATATGTCAGTCTTCAGGATGATAATAGTTGCATTTTAAGTAATAATAATGAAAGCAGCTAATGAACCTCCTATGAACCAAGTGCTAGGAATGCAGACAGAAGACAGATTATCTTTCTTTTGTGTCTTACAGTGTAGTCAGGGGAGGGCAGTACTGGGTGGGTGAGCATTGTGGGGAAGAAGTAGACAAACCAGTGAAAACAGGACATGTTTGGGTAATGACAAGTGCTATGCTGATATTAAAGCAGGGTCACATGATACAAAGAGACTAGCACCTACTGTAAAGTGGGTGCACAGGAGACCCCTGAGTAAATGCCATTTACGAGGAAGGGAGGAACAGGTTTAAGAAGGGGCCATTTGGGGTTGGCTTTGTTTCCTTTGAAATGCCATCAAATGTCCAGATGGGATGGTAACTGCTCAGTGAAATACTAGTCTGGAATTTAGGAAGATCAGGGCTGGAGATATGCATTTGTAGGTCATTGGGACAGTGGGTGGGATTTAGAGCTGATCTTACCGATCTCTAGGGAAAGCACAAAGTGAAAGAAGTGATCAGAAGGAAGATGTTAGGAAGGAGGCTGAGACCAGACGCCAGGGAGGCAGCGGGCCAGGCAGAGAGGGTGATGTCCTGAGGGGCCAACTGTGTCTACCACTGCTGGGACAAGGGGAGAAGAGAGTAGCTAAGTGACTGTGGGTTTGACACCAAGGAGGTCAATGGTTGTGTGGAGGTATCTGTGGAAAGGTTTAAAGAGAGAGTCAAGGAGGATTTGTGAAATGGAGAACTAAAGACAATTATTTCAAGAGAACTTTTAACACTTTAAGAAGCAGAGAAATGCAGGGTGCCTGGGTGGCTCAGTGGTTAAGCATCTGCCTACGGCTCTGGTTGTTATCCTGGATCGAGTCCGCATCAGGTTCCCCACAGGGAGCCTGCTTCTCCCTCTGCCTATGTCTCTGCCTCTCATGAATAAGTAAATAAAAATTTCAAAAAAAAAAAAAAGCAGAGAAATGGGACAAGAGGTATGAGGTCAGTTATTTTCCTGTGACAGATACTATGCAAACATTTTATTTAGTATATGGTTTCATTTTCTCAAAATTCTAGTTTCCATTTGAGGTCGAAAATGAGGCACAATAAAGATAATAAATTGCCCAGGGCCAGGTAATTCATAGATGGTAGAATTGGGGTTTGAATGCAGGCTTATGTGAATCCAATGTCATTCAGCTAGCAAAACCTTTAGTATAGTCGATATATCATTCCTGTATAAGGAGATAATTTAATCCCAATTTCAATTCAATAAAATATGGATGCCCAACTAAAATATTTCTTTGTTGATTATGTGGCAAAGTTCCAATGTGGAATAAGCTTTGTAGAGACCTTTAAAAATGTCCAATAAAATGTGCTTTATTATTTTTTTCCTAGAGAAGTACTAATTATGCAGTATCATTTCAACTAAAATCCAACTCCCTAGAGAAAAAGAGTAGAAGAGAGAGACCACAATTTTATACATTGTACTGAGAAATAAGAGACCTTCCCACGTGATGGCTAATCCAGTCAAAATAATTGGCTACTTTGGTGTAAACACCTGGGTACTCTGGTCTTCCGCAGTTTTCACCCCAACTCACAACACCCCAAACATAAGTCACATTGTTGATATCCTTACAGACTAAGGGACCTCCAGAGTCCCCTTTACAGGCATCGATGGAACCGTCATCTGTACCTGAAAAAGACAAAGGAAAAAAGAAAATCACACACGCACTTCCATTTGTCGAGGCTGCCATGCCGATCTCTTGTCTCCTCCACCAATGGGTGTAGGAGGCTTTCTTCTACTGGCTTTCTTCTACTTTCCTAACAGGAAACAATGAGTATTCTCCCTTCCAGGCCCCTGCTGGGCCCGTAGAAATGGAGCAATGCAGGTAGGGGGACACTTAGTCTTCTGCTCATTTTCCAAATTTAGTGAGTGCTTCCCTTACTTCCTGTATTTTATGCAAGTTTATACTCTAAGGAGACTGCAATCTGAAAGTAGCAAGCAGTGCTGATTGGGAAAATAATAGAAATATTTAGTGCTTATTGAGTGCTTAATATATATCAGTCATTCATTGTGTTAATCCTAAACCACAGCCCAATGAGCTAAGCATCATTATTATCCCTATTTTAAGATCAGATAAATAAGGCACAGAGAGGAACCTAATTTGTCCAAGGCCATATAGCTACTGAGTGGCAGAGGGTGGACTTGAACTCAGGCAGGGAGACCTTAGAACTTTTCCTGTTAATTGTGATAATTGCCTCCCCGTAGGTTTTGTGCTATTCTCCCTTTTTGTCCTCTGGCATCCTGAACTCCATTTAAGAAGGGAGGGCACTGGGAATGACTGTTTACTTTCTTTTCACTTTTAAGACTTTCTAAGGTTTTTAAATCACAGATCCCAAAAGGTATAGGATGTCAATAACATTGCCTTTTTCTGTAATACACTATTTTTATAAGTGGTTTTAATAAAGTATCATATATGCATTACCCTGGCTGGTTCCCTGCCTTAGCATCACCGCCAATAGTAGGAACTGTGGTAGCTTGTGTCAAAGATGTGGGAAACAAAGGCAAAAGAAATGTAGCTTCAATTAAAATCACCTTACAACCTGCAAGACCCTCATAGGTCCCTGAAACATGCAGAGAGTGACCCTCCTCAAGGAACTCGTGGCTGCCTTAGTGCCTTCATGCTTAAAAGTAACCTTATATTGGCATAGCTGGCCCTTTGAGGTCCTGAAATCCTTGCTTCCAGACTTGTGCTATCCCTCACCCCCATGAATTAAAAGAGTATACAATCAATCACTCCTCACAATCCCAGTACAGCTCTTTGCGCCCACAGGTCCGGTCCAGAGAGTATGGAAGGGGTTATAAGATGTAGGCAAGAGATACAGGAGGCCTTTAACACCCCTGATGGGCTCTGCTGTTCCCTGCAGGTGGAGAGGCTGAGACCCAGTGGAGCAGAACAAGAGATAAGGGAACAGACCAAGTTGGTAGAAGAATATCAAGGCCATGGGCTTCCCAGTCAGCTCTCAATAAAAGACTGCCACTAAAAACCCTGGGTGGCAACCCATTCAGGACCTCTCTGCTTCTAGAGAGCTTTTTTCTTTCCTTTCTGCTCTCACTTTCACTTAATAAACTTTTATTTCACTTCACCCTTTTGTGTTGGGGAGATTCATCCTTCCACTGCATGAGACAAGCACCCTGCAACTCTGTATCACTAGAAGTCGGTGGCAGGTATTATAAAAAGTGCGATGGAATTTCTGAGGAGGGAGGATTTACTCCTGACTGGACACATCTGAAATGAGACTGTTCAGAATTTTATTTAGAACAAGTTTGAGTTTTGATCCTGGATATGCCACTTCTTGTCTGTAGGACTTTGGGCAAATTATGTAACTGCTGTGCATCTGTTTCCTCATTTATTAAGACCTTGGATTTTGCAGATGGGGAAGCCTGCTCCAGGTCACATGAGTAGTAATTGGTAAAAACGGGGATGTAAACCCCGGGCAGTCTGTTCCAGAGTCCATGCTCTTGGTCACCTTGCTATATGCCATACGGTGTCATAAGATTTTTCCTTTTAGTGTTAGCTTAAGGGAATTTGAACTAGAGGCCAGGGAAGCACCAGCCAGAAGGTCCAATGAAAGGGCCCAGGGCTCAGAGCAAGTGGATGGATTTAGAGAGGAGGAGAGATGTTTGGTCGGGGGTAGGTGTAAATAGCTTAGAGAAGCTACTTGGGACTTACCTGCACACACCATTTCTTTTTCAAAGTAGCGACCTGGGTAAAACTTGGAGCAGTTGTCTATTAGGTTAACGTCACCCCACTTAAGTACATAAACTTTTTGGTTATCTAAACAAAGTGAGAGAACAAATAGACATTTAGAAGTCACAAATGAGAAATCTAAATAAATACTTATTCTCATAATTTGGTAAGCCATGAGGAATATAGAAGATTACATATATTCCTTAACACATATATAAACTTTTGAGGAGAGTTCATTAACGTATTTAATCCTATGCTGCTCCTCTGCCCTGTTTCTATAATTGCCCTTCTAAAAATAGTTAAGGGGCATTACTGAACACATGCTGGAGTCATTCTCGTTTCACAAAGCCCTGGGTGCTCTGAGATGAATAAGATAAACTCCTTCCCTTACAATTGCTAAGTCCAGTTGGGGAACTAGACTGATCCAGTGACTGTGGATCCAGTCAGTGATTAGCATTTTCTTACATGAATAGGTCCTATCATTTCACAGTCACAGATTTCCTTGACTGTGCTTGTTAGAGTGAAAACAACCTTTTGACATAAGAACATAAGAATGAATGTAAGTCAAATGACTTACCCCCTCACTTAATGTATAAACTATTGGGGAACAGAGGCTTCTGGTTATCTTTTCTTTTCTTTTTCTTTTTCTTTTTTTTAACATTTTATTCAGAGAGACAGAAAGAGAGTCAGAGGCAGAGGCAGAAGGAAAACCAGGCTTCTGCAAGAACCCTGATGCAGGTCTCCATCCCAGGACCCCGGGGATCACCACTTGAGCCCCAAGACCCCAGGATCACGACCTGAGCCAAAGGCAGATGCTCAACCACTGAGCCACCCAGGTACCCTGGCTTCTGGTTATCTTGAGAGGACACCTCCATGACCCTAACACTGTAGGGAGCATGTAGTATACTATAAAACTAATATTCTCTTCTGAAAAGCAGGGGGGAGACAAAAATCCACCAAAGTAAAGGACAAATTAGGAGATTTTCTTTTTTTTCCTTCAAGTCTTACTTCAAGTTAGTTTTAAAATGCTATCTTCTTCAGGTTAAGAGTTTGTTTTTTTTTTAATTAGTGATTTATTATTTCTTCCAACTCCGGAAAAGCCTTTAAAAACTGGGAATTAAAAAATAAATAAATAAATAAATAAATAAATAAATAAATAAATAAATAAATAAACAAACTGGGAATTCCTATACTATGTGAACAATTTTTAATGGCTCAGGAGATTATTCCCTCCCCTGAACTCTTGTTTTGTATACTCCTTTTTTTTCTTTTTTAGAGGGAGAGTGAGAGTGGGTAGGGGTGTAGGGAGAAAGAGAAAGAGAATCTCAAGCAAGCTCCATGCTCAGCAAGGAGTCTGATGCAGGGCTTGATCTCACAATCCTGAGATCATGACCTGAGCCAAAATCAAGAGTTGGATGCTTAACTGACTGAGCCACTCAGGCACTCTATTGCTTTATATACTCCTTGGGGTACCTGTCACATTCTGCTATCCGATGGTGGCATTCACATCTGATGGCTTCTCTGTACTGTAAGTCCCTTGAGTGCTGGTCCTTGTCTCTCAATCTGTAGCCTCTGTACTCTTTGTTGACTTGGTCCATATTTTTCATCAGTGAAATCCTAGTACATTAGCACTACTATCTTGCAGGCATGATAAGGGCTCAAAAATGTGTTAAATTGTGTTTGATTGATAAGTAAAACAATGCATAAGAACATACCTACCAGTTTATAGGAAATACATGGAATAGAAGAATGTGCGAAATGCCACATCAAAGATACAATCAGCCAGATTTAAGGTGTGAAAATTCCAAAATAAGAACGACTCAGTTTCTTTAATAAATAACATTTTAAATAAAAGGAAGAGGGTAACTGTTCTAGAGTAAAAGAGATTTAAGAAAAATAGCCACTAAATGCAATGTGCAGACTTTGGATCCCATGGAAATAATTCTGATTGTTAAAATAGTTTGTAAATAATTGAGAAATATTAAACATGGAATGGTTATTAGATGATATTATGGGATCATTTTCATTTTGTTGGATATGGATGATGTTGTGTTTTTGTTTTTATTTTTGTTTCTTTAAGTCTTTACCTGGCAAAGGTATCTACTGGAATATTCATGGGTAAAATTACATTATATCTGGGTTTGATTTAATATGCTTCAGGAAAAAATAAGTGTGTGTGGTGGGTGGGTGGGGGGAGTATGTTCAATAGCTCCCAAGTGTCTTTCAGATCCATTCTCTCCCCTTTGATGCCCTACCCTTTGCCTAAAGAGCCTGATCTAAGGGACCATCTCAATAGGAATCTCTTAGCCTCTGGTTTTCTTTTTTTTTTTTTTTTTAAGATTTTATTTATTTATTCATGAGAGACACAGAGAGAGAGGCAGAGACACAGGCAGAGGGAGAAGCAGGCTCCATGCAGGGAGCCCGATGTGGGACTCGATCCTGAGTCTCCAGGATCACGCCCTGGGCCGAAGGCAGACGCTCAACCACTGAGCCACCCAGGGGTCCCTAGCCTCTGCTTTTCAACATAAAGGAAGGAAGGGAAGATAAGGAGAGAGGATAAAGAGATTGGGTTGGCTATAACCTTCAATCCAAAATCACTGCTTCTCTTAAGGCAGCCTGCTCAACCTGATACTCTTTCTCGTGGTAACTTCTTCCTCTCACATCTTCAGATCTAAGAGAAGCTGTTCTGGTACTGTTCATTCCAGGTTGCTGCCTAGCCCTTGTAGTTCCCCAAACCCCTATCCACATCCTTGTAATTAATCCCTTTATAAGTAGCCCTTCCTATTTATCTGTTAAGCTTGTGAATAATTCTGAGAGATAAAACAAGACTGATAGAGGGTTGATAACTGGAAACTGAGTGAGAAGGAAGTAGGCTTATTGTATATACTTAATCTCTCCTCTTGTACTCGTAAATGTACATAATAAAAGTTTTTTAAGGAACAAATGTAAGGACATAATGCCTTCTGAATAAATTAATTACTAATAACATTTAGTCTTGGGTATTATATGTTAATTTATACACATATTTGGAACTTTTCAATGTAGCAACTATAAACAATGTGGTGGAGTATGAGTCTATAAGACCATGTAGTGAAGTTATTTACACAGAGATGTAGGAGGTCAAAAGGAAGCTAAATTTCAAAGCTAACTCGTCAAGATAAAGGTAAAAACACTGGCTAATTCTAATTTAACTTCTAATTTAGCCAGTTTTTCTAAGTGTCTACATCACTTATTCACACAAATGTTCATCTCAAGTCTTCTTAGAAGCTTAAGAAATAATTCTTTATGTTTTTTTTACTTTTTGTGGGACGCAATGGTGGGGCAAGGAGAATGAGGAAGTGAAGGAGAAAGCAGAGGGTTGTGGGATTACTGATTCACCTATACTGAGACTATTCCTTTGAAAACCATTTTATCTTCCATCCATGTCTAACAAATCCAGAAAGTTCATGCTGTATATGTCCCCCTGTCACTCTACTTTTTTTTTTAAATGGTTACCCCTCAATGTATACTTCAAGATCACAGAGTGTAGATGTCCTTTGAAACTCTGGATCAGGATCAGCTACATAATTTTCAGGGCCCAGTAAAAACAAAACAAAACAAAACAAAACAAAAACAAAAACAAAACAAAACAAAACAAAAAAACGTGAGGTGGGGGCCGCTGCAAAAATTATTAAGAATTTAATGATGATGACAGCATAGCAGTACACTAAGCATGGGGCCTTTGGAGCCTGGGATGCTGGACAACTGCACAAGTCTCACTCCCATGAAGCCAGTCTTGACTGCTCATTTTTCTGGAGTTATGCTATGTTTTTCCCAGAGTACTAGGAAATTAACTCTATCCATTTCTATTCCCCTGGAATAGAACCCCTGGATTCTGATTAAAAAATTTTAAAACATATACCTTTTTCTCGACCCCAGCCAGAAACAGTGCATCTGTCATTAGGTTGAAATAGATATGAAGACCAGGGGACACAGGCAGGGATGGAATGAGGCAGCGAACATTCTTTTTGGTTTGAGCGTTTTCTCAATTCAATCAAAGCTATGTCATTTTCATAGGTGGTTCCGTTGTAATTTTCATGAACAATAATTTTTTTTGCGAACTGAACAATTGTATCATTGTCAGGTCTTAACGAACTTAGAAATGATGTCCATATTTGGTACTGGTAAATTCTACTGACACTATAATAGAAAGGAAAGGGAGATAAGTTATATTGAGAAAAAAAACAACTAAAACGTGAACATTTGATGCTTCGTCTTTATATTCTCTGTTTTAAAGGACTTTCTTCCTTTTTCCAGATTCTTTTTTAATCCTTGCTGTTATGAAGCAGTGTGATTAAATTTATGGGGTAGAATGTCAGTGGCCAAATAAAGAGAGGAATAACCCATCTAACTGCTCAATATAAGGGCCATAAAGAACCCACTAACAACTACAGATGCCCAGAAGTGGAATGAGTTGGCTACCTCTGGAGAGCACCATCACTGAAGGTGTTCAAGCAGAGATCAGAAAGCATGTAGCCAGAAATGTGGTTGAGGAAATGGGGAATCAGGGCACACATTCTCATTACTTCGCCAACCCCAGAGGTTCTCAAGGTGAAGACTATAGCAGTCGTTATCCTGCATTTAAGACTTAAGACTGTGTTTAAGACTGTTCATCTTAACATTGTATTGTATTGTGTTTATTTGCTCAGAAGCCTTTCTTCCTGTTAAATTGTGCTAGTTGAAGTCAAAGGATGAGGTCTAATTCATCTGTACTTAGATCCCTGCATCTGGTATTGTACCTGGAATATATTCGCTCTTCTTCTTTTTTTTTTTTTCACTTTTCTAAATTTAGTTGAAATTAGCTAAATGCTGCTTGTTCTATGCTTCACTCAATTTTCATACCAATTTTTACCTCATGTTTCCAGCAAATTGGCATTACCATCATTTTCTCAGGTAATCACCTAACAGCTAAACAGTGATGTTCTAGGAACTAAGGAGGTGTGCAGGATGCTTTAATTTATACTTAATATTCCAAGAATGCTATGCCTCATATTAATTTTGGTTGCTTTTTAGGATCAGAGGTCCTGAATATTGTTTAAAGTTTAGCCCTGTTTATTCATTCAATTTACTCAACAAATACTTAGTATGCACTTACTATTACCAGGCACTGTGCTAGCCACTGGGGTACAGAAATGAGCAAAATCAGAAACAGTTCCTGCCTTCATGGAGCTCAGGATCTAGGGAAAGATGTGGTATTAAATGGATAATGGGGATAATGAAGATATGTATTCTACTGTGTAAAGTGAGAGGAATGAACAGCACATGGAATTCTGAGAATTTATCAAGAAGGCTTTGACTTAAAGGAATCATGGAAGATTCTCTGGGGAAGTGAAGATTGAGTTGAGATCTGAATAAAGAATAGCACTAACTAGAGAAACAGGGTAGGAAAAATCATTTCAGGCATTAGAAATAACACCTGAAGATCTCTCTGCAACAGGGAGCAAGGTGCATATTAGTAGCTGAAAGAAGTTCGAAGCAGGTAGAGCAGACAGAGAGTTGAAGCTGTAGGGCAAGATGAAACTGGCAAAAGTAAGTAGAGGTCAGATCACATGGAGCCTACTGGGCCATGTTAAAAATGTTGTTTAGATACTCTAGCAGCAAATGAGCCTGGCAAAGCCAATGTCTGACATTTTCAGCCTTTCTAGTAGAGAAGTGGGCCCTGCATCCCACCAAAATTCATGAGAATAAGAATTAAAAAAGTAGAAGCAATGTAGATTAAGACTACTGACAGTAGTGGTCCATGATGGGAGTGTTGGAACACCCTGAACTCGCCTTATTCCATGGACACACCAAATCTAAACCTACATATAGAGCAATACCTCTTGAAGAACAGAAGGCTAATCAAACAGCTTGTGCACAATAAACAACAAAGGGACTGCATAGAGAAAGGTAGGAGAGAGATATGGTAATGATGGCAACTCCACATCTGATTCGACAACCTGCAGTAGGAAGGGATATCCCTAAGGGGTTCATGTGTAGATTTGCCTGGCCTGGAGGAAAAATAAAATCACCAGTGTAAAGGGCAACTACACTATAAATGAAAGAAATTAAATTTCGAGCCCTAGAGAGTCTGCCAAATGGTGGAGAAACTTCTGGAGCTTTCTTTCTTTTTTTAAATATTTATTTATTCATTTATTTGTGATAGACATAGAGAAAGAGAGAGAGAGAGAGAGAGAGAGAGGCAGAGACACAGGAGGAGAGAGAAGCAGGCTCCATGCCAGGAGCCCGACGTGGGACTCAATTCCGGGACTCCAGGATCGCGCCCTGAGCCAAAGACAGGCACTAAAACACTGAGCCACCCAGGGATCCCCCGCTGGAACTTTCTTGGGGAGTTGAAGGTGCTGGTGAGTGCCATTGTCTATGTTCCCCTTCCACCTTGATAACACAGATGGGAAAAGGGCCTAGACACTCTAGCTGATCTACAGCCTCAATGACCCCAGATTCCTAAACTTAATAGCTCCAGCCATCCCTTTTAGGTGGGCTCCTACCTTCATCTATCCCAGCACCAGCTGTCTCGGTGAGACTGCCCCAATGCAGCACACCCCCAGCCACCACCACTTGTGCCTGCTATATCTCCAGCCATCACACCAAATTGGCCAGGTGGAAAGAAATCCAAGACTTTCTGGGCTGCATCTGCTTCAGCTCCAGCCATCCTACCAGGAAAGCCCCTATGTGGAGTGCCCCAGCCTGTTTGCCCCAGCTCCAGTTATCCTGCCATGGTGGCCCTGGTGCAGAGCACCCTGGAACCTGCCAACCCATGCCTGCCCCAGCTCCAGCCATCCAGCCAGGTGGTTTGAGCATAGAGCCCCCTGGGAGTCCCAGGTCCATGCTCACTCCAGCTCCAGCTGTCCGTGTAGAATGGCTCCAGTGTAGCATGCCCTAAGACCCCTTGGCCCATACCTGCTCCAGCTTTAGCCAGTCAACCAAACCCACCAGGACATATAATCTACACATGGAAGCACCTACACAAGGCCACTCCTTCAAGACTGGGAAAAGCAGCTGTTCTGCCTAGTACCCAGAAACAGATAAAGTCAAACAAAATCAGGAGACAGAGAAATATGGTTCAAATAAAAGAACAAACAAGATAAAACCAGGGATTAAAAAAAAACCCTAATGAAATGGAAGTAAGTAACTTACCTGATAAAGAGGTCAAAGTAATGGTCATAAAGATGCTCATTGAACTTGGGAGAAGAATGGAGGAAACACAGTAAAAACTTCAACAAAGAATTGAAAGAACCAAAGAGAAATCACAGAGCTGAAGAATACAGTAACTGAACTAAAAGATACTCTAGAGGAAATCAATAGCAGATTAGATGATACATAAGAACAGATCAGTGATCTGGAAGACAGAAGAGTGGAAATCACCCAAGCAGAACAGTAAAAAGAAAAAAAATTTCTATTTTTTTATTTTTGAAAAATAATTTTAGTATGCTAACATCGAGTATGCTAACATTCACATTATAGGGGTCCACAAAGAGAAGAGAAATAGAGATGGGCAAAAACTTATTTGAAGAAATAATGCTTAAAATTTTCTTAACCTGGGGAAGGAAATAGACATCTAGGACCAGGAAGCACAGAGAGTCCCAAAACAAGATGAACCCAAAGAGATCCATAACAAGGCACATTATAATTACCATGGAAAAAGTTAAAGAGAAAATCTTAAAAGCAGCAAGAGAAAAACAAATAATTACAAACAAGGGAAACCTCATAAGGTGATGAGCTCATTTTTCAGCAGAAACTTTTCAGGTCAAAAGAGAGTGGCAGGGTATATTTAAAGTGCTGAAGAAGAAAAACTCATAACCAAGAATACACTATTTGGCAGGGTTGAAAAGAGATAAAGAATTTCCCAGACAAGCAAAAGCTGAAGTTCATTGACACTAGACTGGCCTTACAAAAAAAAAAAAAAAAGTCTAAAGGGAAAGCCATAATTAGAAATAAGAAAATATATGAAAGAAAAAAATCTTACTGACACAGGTAAATATATAATAAGGCAGTAAAGTAATTTGGCTACTTTCAAAGTTAATATGAAGATTAAAAGACAAATAGTAAAATCAACTATAACTAAAATAAGCAGTTAAAGGATACACATAATAAAAAGATGTAAAATAAGACATCAAAAACTTAAAATATGAGGAAAGAAATAAAAAATGTAGTGCTTTTAGAATATGTTCAAATTTAAGTAACTGTCAGCCATATATATATATATATATATATGTATATGTATATACACACATATATATATACACACGCACACAAATGGAGAGAGAGAGGGGAGAGAGGGAGAGAGAGAAAGAGAGAGAGAGAAAGACTGCTATATATGTAGGTCAATATATATGAGCCTTATGGTGAGCACAAACCAAAAACCTGCAATAGATATACAAAAAATAAAGAAAAAGAACCCAAAATAAAACTAAAGGAAACCATCAGGCCACAATGGAAGAGATGAAGAGAATAAGAACAGAACAGAAAAACCATAGGAATAACCAACAAACAATGAACAAAATGGCAATAAGTACATGTCTATCAATAATTACATGTAAGTGAATTAAATGCATCAGTTGAAAGATAGAGTGGCTAAATGGGTAGAAAATAAGACTCATCTATGTGCTGCCTATAAGAGACTCATTTCAGATCTAAAGACATGCACAGACAGAATGTGAGGGGATGGAAAAAGATGTTCCATGCAAATGGAAACAAAAGGAAAGCTGGTATAGCAATACTTAAAACAGACAAAATAGACTTTAAACCAAAGACTGTAACAAAAGACAAAGAAGAGCATTACATAATGATAGAGTAAATCCAAGAGAAGGATATAACACTCCTAAAGATTTAGGCACTCAATTTAGGAGCACCTAGATATATAAAGCAAGTATTAACAGACATAAAGAAAGATATAGATTTAGATCCAATCAGGCAGAAATTAAAAATCAATTGAATGAGATGCAATCCAAACTAGAAGTCCTAACGACGAGGGTTAACGAGGTGGAAGAACGAGTGAGTGACATAGAAGACAAGTTAATGGCAAAGAGGGAAACTGAGGAAAAAAGAGACAGACAATTAAAAGACCATGAAGACAGATTAAGGGAAATAAATGACAGCCTAAGGAAGAAAAACCTACGTTTAATTGGGGCTCCCGAGGG